CTGGTTCTTTATTTAACGATGATGAAAACTATATAAATAAAAAGCTGTTTGGACGGTCTCTTTGGTTTGAGGTAAACAATAATATATTAATATAACAGTAATTGTCTTGGTTTCTATCTATACAGTAAATATATATCCAACACGATGGATATAATCAAATAAATATATATTTTGTCTACATGTGCTTAAATAGCGCTTTAGCTATGACGATTATTTAAACAATCTCGCCGTGTCTAGTTCTGTTTACATGTTACGTGATTGGCCGAAGGAACATAAAATATTATGTATAGCACTCACTGACCCCTCTGTTGGCTACCATTAGAATGAGTTGATTTACGATTGTAACTCAGCATATCCAAATTACCATTTCTTCATGAATCCCGCTTTGCCATCACTGGTAAACGCAATGGCAAATGACCGCTGGTAAATGCGTTACGATCGTATGTTTGTGACTCCGGCCCCAGGACAGCATGCAACCCCCGCACCATAGGATCACCACCAGCCTTTAACAGTTCAGCTGGTATCATGCAGACACCTGTTGCTTTACCTCTCTTGGAGATCGCCCCCCTAACTTCAGTTAGGGAGGGAGGATCCTCACTGACTGATGGGTTCGGTAACAGCATCTTGACACTACCCGCATCCAAGTTAACTGTTGGTAGATCAACCTTGTACAACTGTGTAAAATATTCAGTCCAATGCTCACGCACTGCAACAAGATCTGAGATGATCAGGTCACTTCCTGAGTGGACTGTTGTCAACTGTGAAGAGGGCTTTGAGTTTAGCTTTCTCAGGGCTTGGTATGCAGGACGAAGGGCATTTACTAGGAAATGTCCTTCGACCTCCTCTGCAAAACTCCTAATAAACTGTTCCTTATCCCTTCTCAGCAGTGACCAAGTCTTGCGCAATGCAAATCCTGATCCCCTCTCACAAAAAGCTATTGTGGCTTCTAGTGTCTCCTGCAAGACAAAATTCTGTCTTGCTCTTGGATGTTCACCGAACGATTCTTTAGCTGCACTGAGCGTTAGTTCGTGCTTGAAGGTGTCACTCAGAAGTACAGGGTCTGTCTGATTGTCAAGCACTGTGAAATGAACAGAAATTGCTTCAGCAAACTCACAGGAACACACCCCCTCCTTCAACCTGTCCAGATGAAACACCGTAGTGTGGTCACTGGACTGATGAGGAGATTTGAAGTGGACCCAGAGGGTAGCCACAACCAGTCTATGGTTAATACCGCAGACCTCAGCATTCTTGTACACCCTGCAGTTTTGAAGGATCCTCCAACTAGTGCTAACGAGGATCTGGCCGATCTCCTTGGGTGCATTACCCACATTACTGTACCACATCCAAAAATGTGGGTCAGAGGTCAGGTACCAAGAGCCAGAAATCTTCAATTTATGGAACCTTGCAAAGAAAGTTATTCTTCTGCTGGTACCAGCTCCCGAACCTTGGGGACCAACAGACATCTCATGTCCAGCTTGATTGCAGCCAGATACCGCATTGAAGTTGCTGAGAACAATACGAATATCTCGCTGATGACAACTGTCCGACAGATGCAAGTTTGGTGTAAAACATCTCTTTCACACTGAATTTACAAACATCAGTAAGAGTGTACAGAGTAATAAGAGACATGAAGCCAATTGCAAGCTTCAGTCTCAGTACCATTATACACTTATCGACCAGAGTAACCTTCACTACTGAGGGCTGAAGTCTGCTGAATATGGCTATAGCTTCTCCCTGAAGACAATGACCATCGCTGTGGCCCTAACAGTAATAGGTGTAGCCATCGATACTTATCGTTCCGCTTAAAGGCATTCTCACCTCCAATAGAGCACCCAGATCAACTCTTACTGCCTCAGTTCCTTTGACAGTTGTGGCTATCAACCATCGTGTTATAAAGAGAGTACATTCCAAACCTTCACCCTGATGTCCCACCTGAGATTAAGCCTCAGGCAGTCGCTCCGGGTGAACTCCACCTCTGCCATTCCTGCCGACGATGCTCCATAAAGTGAGGGGGTGGCTGGCCTGTAGGGGTCCCGTGGGCTTTGCCCCACAAGCCCGACGCCAGGTTGATGGCCACCGGGACGCGGATGAGTCGGGTAACCCCGGCTCCCAGTATTCGCCAACCCAGAGAGACCCACATCCTGCCTTACTTACGAGGGGGGAGGGATATTTGCCCTCCCCCCTGATCCACCTTTATGAAACACTGCCTCCCCATAGCCACCCATTAACCCCAGTGGGCAAAGTGGCAGGAATCCAACTACGTACTTTTAGGGCCTCCTGCTGCTCCAAGAGCCTCCTCAGTTCAGCCTAGGACCGCAAGGTGCCTAGTTTTCGTGGGTGGCCACTGTCGAAGTCTTGAAGAAGGAGAGGCTATGAGCTGGCAAGGGAGTCTTATGCACAGCTGCTCCCTTTTCGCACAAGGCTAGTCAGTGGTGGCAGCTGCCAGCGAGAAGGTATGCAAAGCACTTACCAAAATCTAGACTACCATCCCATTGCTTTACATCACCCAGCGCATGAAGCAGCAGCTTCACACACACACACACACACACACACACACACACACACACACACACACACACACACACACACACACACACACACACACACACACACACACAGAACATGCAACAACTCCTGCCTCCTATCTCTTCTCAGTGCCCCTCCTCCTTACCCGCTATCTTGGCGCATGCGTAGTAGTCTCCGATGCTCTCGATGATCGATGCCAAGGAGCCTCCGAGCATCCCAACCACTCCTGCGACTGGCACGGTTGGCACTCCCCACTGACCTGCGAAGGGTCAAAGGTCATCACAAAGTCAAAGTAAAGGAGGATTGGAATGGTCTTTGCTATCTTTAAAAAAAGGAATTAGATTGTTTTTTCTTTATTCTTGATTTTCATCTTTTATTTAAATCAAATTGTGTTGGTGATATAATTGTCCTTATCATCATTGGAATTACCATTATTATCATTCATTTATGTTTCTTTATTCGCTTGTGTTTAAAAGTTTCTCTCTGTTAGCCTTCTTTTACTCTTCCTCCTCTCTGTCTCTTTCATTCTAAACGTCTTACCTTTAAGTCGCTAAATATATCTGGTTAATTATTCCGCTACAAACAATAATATTTTTTCATGAGAATGATTAATACCTTTTTATGACAATGCTGATTGCATAATGCAATAATCTTCATTAACATTGCAATCATGATTACTTGATTCTTTGCAGGCAACGTTTATTTCATGCGCTGTTCTTCATCAACACGATTAATCATCTGAAACTATTTCTCAAATCTTTAATATTACACCTGTCACTACGATCATTTTCAACTTCCATCGTTAACGTCCTAAAACATTCCCAAAACACCATGCAGGTAGAAGACAATCGTAAAAAAAGAAAAAATAATCAAATATATGACGAACACCGAAGTTTAAAATTGAACGAATTGAGACAGTTAAGGAAAATCCTCTTTGAGCATGCATGGTATTGTGGCCCACCAGGGTATGGCATCTCTGAACCAGGGTGAGTTTGCCCATTAGGTTTCCAGTTTGTGGTGTCAGTCCTGGCTGGGGAAGCTGGTGGAAAGATGTCATAGGCGGTAAGGACGGCACACAGAGTCCAGGTGGTGAAGACAGCGAGAAGCACCTGTGGGAGATCGGGGGATGGCTTTTAGAAATAGAGGGGTGGAGGAGAAGGGAGACTAGGGTGGAAGATTAGGGGGTGGGAGAAACAGGAAGAGGGAGAGGGAAGGGTGAGAAGTGAGAAGGGAGGATTGTGTAATTCCGGTTGTTCTGGAGAGGGTTAGAGGTGTGGTGTGTAGGACGGGAGCGAGTTAAGGACATGAAGGTGGGACAGGAAGGCGGGTGATGAAGCTATGCTTAGGATTAGGATAAGATAGTGTAGGGATGAATAGATCAGGTTGGAAAGCGAGGAGGAGTACAGAGGGTGGATAGTTAGGGAATAGTTAGAGAACTCAGGGGAAGATAAAAGGAAGAAACGGCATGAAAGATTTTTAGATCTTTGTCCCACAGGATTGGATTTTACATGAACTCTGGTTACGTAGAGAGTGAGTGAGGATTATTGATTAACAGACGCTGGGTGATAGATTGAAAATAGATATTGGATATAGAGTGGTTTACAGAGAGAGATTGAGGAGAGAGCAGTAGTAGGATGAGGTAGGAGTGAGGGATGAGATGACGAGGAGAGTAGAGAGAGGGAGAGAGAGAGAGGGGAAGGAACGGGCTTGGACCGAGTGGCGGAACGCGTGCCGGCTGGAGTGACATGGTGTAGATAAACTATAAAATTTGTTTGTGGAATATTGGAAATCAGCAAATTGCGACAGAGCATCGAAGAAAACTAGAAGAAAGAGAAAGTCTGCTTACAGAGTTTGTATGCTAGTTGCAAAGTACTCAAATGACATTCCGAACCATTTTATAATTGGCATTGACAATTACTACAGTACTTTTTCAGGAACGCGAACAAGACATCGTACGTGGTCAGTTAACTGATCGGACATTCTGAGAGTTCTTGTGTTCAAGTTTTTCATGGCTAGACATTTAAATGTACTTACTTCTGTCTGTCTTGTTTCAAATCACGCGCACAGTCCCAGCCTACTCCCTCTTCGATCATTTCATACCGTACACCCATACAATCGCTACTGTCTTCTCGGTGTGTTTAGGAAATACTTCAGAAAATATCAATTTAAATATGGTGATTGTGGGTGTTTAGTTGTGAATAGTAAAATGTGTCATACTAGCGGATATATTTTAGTTGTGTGTTGTGTGTGATGCATGTAGGATGACTGGTGTTGTGTGGTGTGCTGTCGAGTGTTGTGTGTGTGTTGGTGTGCGGTGTGGTGTGGGTATGTCGAATGCGTGGTGTAACACGTGTGAGTGCTCGATCAAGTGTAGTAGTGGTGTGCATGCTGGTGTGTGTCAGTGGTGGTGTGGATGCTAAGTGTGAACCGCACCAAACATTCAAAAACTGAATTTAATTTAACACAAAGGAGCACTGGGCTACACAACACATAAACATACAGAGCAGTGTGACAACACACACGACAAATACACAGACACACAAAATACAGATACAGTACAAAAATAACAGACAACAACAGTACTGAATACAACAAACAACACGCACACGCGACAGTTCACTACACACAACATATATATTATATTTATATATATATTATATATTATATATAATATATATATATATATATATATATACTATACACATCACAGCACACACACACACGCATAGGAGGCGCAGGTCCAGCTGGAGCACACACACACACACACCCACACACACAACACACACACACCACATATTAATATATATATATTATATACATAATATGTATGCGTAACCACAGACCAAACACACACACACAACGGCACATATGATATAGTGGTATATATAAGGTGTAGTGTGTCTTGGATTTAGAGAGGTGTATATATATATATATAATATATATATATATATTATATATATATTACACTGATAGTGACTAATATATCTACTAATTATGCTTCTATTAGTATCTATAATTTCTACTTATAGGGTTTTAGTGATACCTATATACATATAATCTACTATACAAAAATTAATTATTAACATACGCTAAGGACAAGGAATGCCTAATATAGGGATAAGATATATTAGTATATATATTATATAGTTTAATATACTAATTACATGTATCACCATAACCTAGCTACCTCACTCACATACCTATATAATACGTATATATATACTCAAACACTCCACTAGCCCTATCTAACATATTATACTTACAACTTCATATACCCTATATATATTTACATATCTCCACATCAAACACGATGATTGGCATCACTCTGGAATGTATTCGAGTAGAGACTGTAGGGCAATCAAATACTCATCTCTCTCTGCTTTTTTTAGTGCTTCCATAGGTTCCTGGATTACTTCTTCAAAGATTATTCCTCCTCTCTGTGCTGACAGGTCCGGTAGCTCTAAGTTCGATCTCTCTACGTGCTTCGCTCTCAGTCTGTCGTGATCTTTTGAACCCGTCTTCTCAGTCTCTCTATCTCTCTACTGCTCTCTCTCTCCTGCTTCTCGCGTCATCGCTGTGTTATGATACTAATTTATATTTTCTATATGTGCTATCTATGGCTTCGGATTGTTATAGTTTTCTTATTTTTGGGTTGATAACATCTAGATGTTCGTGGTTCTATTTTGCATTCTGTTATCACTCTTTACTTCTCCCCTCTCTTCTGTTTATATATATATATATATATATATACTATATATATATAACTTACCTGATGTCTTATATTCTCATATTATTATTTGATAATGTTTTCTTTCAATAGTTATTTAATATATTTATTTTCTTAATACTTATACAATATGTATGTCGTTTTTTATAATTATCATATAATATGTATACATATTAATACATAATATTAGGACTATATCGGTTATCTAACTATATATATATATTGGACTTAATTTAAATTTTATATATAGGTGTCATTTTATTAACCTAATTACTACATTTATATGTCATTACTAAGTATATATTATTAGGGTTAGTGTTATATATATATAGCGTCTTCTGGTCTATATCATATACCTGGATTTATATATATTATATTATTATTATTCGTTATTATAATTATATGTTTTAAGATGTTTCGTGGTTGATTGCCTTTTCATCTATATTATACTCTTGATTTTATCGGTATACCCCTTCTAGTATAGGCTTCCTTCTATATATTATATTACATATATATATATATATATATATATATATATTGGTTATACATACATATATATATACATATAATATATATATATTATATATATATATATTATATATATATATATATGTATATATTATGTATGTATAAACATATATATATCTATCTATCTATCTTATAGTATATATATATTTTTATTCGGTTGGGTTTTTATACTATATATATTATATCTTATATTTTATATGTAATATTATGGGGTGAGTGATATTATACTTTGACTATAACTATTTTCATTGGTGTGTGTGTGTGTGTGGGTGTGTGTGTGTGAGGTTGGTGTGTGTGGTGTGTATGTTAATATATATGTATATATAATGTATACTTTATATAGTGTATAGCCCTCTCTTCACGGATTGTATCTTCATGACTATGGTAATGTTATAATATACACTAGTCATTATTTTTATTTACTATTATTACTATTTGTCGGTTTTATACTTATATATATATAGGTTTTTTTGATTTTTACTTTTAATGTATGTTTATAGTATGGTGAGTTGAGGGAGTAGTAGAGGATGGTTATGATTGAGAGTATGGAGAGAGAAGAGAGAGAGAGAGAGATTGAGAGAGGATAGAGAGAGAGGATGAGGTGAGCAAAGAGAGAGAGAGAGAGAGGGAGAGAGAGAGAGAGAGAGGGAGAGAGAGAGAGAGAGAGAGAGAGGAGACGAATGAAGACGGAGGCAGAGGTGTCAGAAGAAGAGGATACG